CGTCCCTTGTGGCGGGGGCGGGAGACAGTTTTAGTGGGTATGCGTGGAAACCGTCCCTCTTCTAGGGGCGCCGGAAGCGAGAGTCTCACACTATCTGGGCTATCTTCCCAGATGTCCGTTATTGGATTTGTGTCTTCCTCAAACACAAAAATAAGAAGGTTACATCTGTCACGGTTATACTGTACTCTATAGTATAAAATCATAACGTAACGGGGTCACGCGTAACACTTTCATACTTACTAACCTAACATAACCTAACCTAACCGTGATAGCGTTACCCGCGACACCGCACAGTGGGGTATTTGAGCCGAAAAACCGGAAAAAAGTCGATTTCAAAAATTTTGCGTAAACTGTAAACTTTTTGTTGTTTGAGGTTCTTAAATATATGAGGAACAATGTACTACATTTTTTTTTTACTAATACACTGAGAAAGCACTAAACTTACTAAAAAGTTGAGAGATTTTATGACTGATTTTGGTTTTTCAACCACGCTAAAATGTGCGATGCATTTACAGGAAATTTCTTTCATTACAGATCCTTTTTAAATTTACGAAAAAACAGATCCTTTTTTGGTACGTATGTAGTATACTTTCACATTTTTTATTTTTCTTTTGTCATAATTATTTATGTAGTTATTAATATCTCAAAATAATCAATAAATCAATAATTTTCTTTACTATTAAGAAAATTCATTAACGATTTTGTTATAGTTCCAAGTGAGTCCCAATGCTCTTTTTGGTACCATTATATTCGGTAGAGATTCCAGATTATAACCCAACATAATTTGATTCCGGATTTGTCCGGATTGAAGTTTTATAACTAATTTAACATTAAACGTTTCGCAGCGTTTCACGTACGCCTACACACTATCTTCTGATGAAGATTAATGGTAAAGCGGTTTAAAAATATTTTGAAAATATGTATTTTCTTAGTAAATTGTTGCCCAACCCACATATTCTACATTAAAATATGAATATAGTAAATTTTAATATGATATGTGTACAAAACTAATTTTTCTCGATTTTGCCGTGACACTTCACCATCGACCCTACTTTTCAACGGTTTCCAACAATCTGAGAAAAAAATGGTCTAAACAAAATGTAAATAGTATTTAGACATCTACTAATTTTAATATTTAATATTTCAAAAATTTTTATTGTTTTTCGAAAAATCAAGGTCATTTTGATTTTTTAAATATTAACATTTATTTTTAATTTCAGAATATGTGGCCAACGTTAAGACGAATTCAACAACCTATTATGTTATAACCTTCAACCTATGAACGACGCTAAAATAATTTTGTCCGATTTTTCGGCTCAAATACCCCACTGTGCACCGTTACGTTATGATTTTATACTATAGAGAAGAGTATGATATCATTCTGTATAGTATAAAATCATAACGTAACTATAGAGAAGAGTATGATATCATTCTGTATAGTATAAAATCATAACGTAACGGTGCCACGTGTAACACTCTGAGGCTTATTCCGCACTCTGCAGTACGAAATCATATCGTAACTGTGTCACGCGTAACGCTGCATCGCTTATACCATACTCTATAGTATAAAATCATAGCGTAATGTTGTCACGCCTAACGCTACCCTCTGCATTCCACGGTCCACGGTCCACCCACAGCCCCCTAGGCAGTATTGTCACTAATGTTTAAGTCTACCAAGCACAACGTAATCATATTATAACGCAGAAACATGTCCGTGAGTTACGCTGAGACGTTGTACGCATACACGAAAACAAGGCAGAAAAATATTATATGTATACTCTTACAATGATAGTACAGTAAAACCCTTATTAAGGGGGGCAATACCTTTAGACCGATGAAAATAAGCTGATTTTTGTGAATTTTTTTGTATAGGATATCTTTGTTTTGCGTTTTTGAAATTTCAGGTATAATTTATTATAACTATTGCCTATTACACAATATTTTTTGTGTTTGAGTGTTTCCGGAAGTGTTTGGGCGCATCTCGTGAATCGGTGTGGATTCTAGCTTTAGATATATTGGTCTGAAGCAAGTTTGCAGACAATGTTTCGAAAACTAACATTCACAGTTAGTAGATGAACCTCAGAAATGTGCAAAATATGTAAAATTAAAGAAATGGCGCGCTTTTAAAGAAAAACTTCGAATTTTACTAAAAATTTTTGCAACATTTTGCAATAAAAAAAGGACTTTAATGTTCAATTTATTTCATAATTTAGGTTCATATGTTAGATACTATTGTCATGGATATGTGCAAAAAATTTGAGCGCGATTGATAAACTAGTTTTTGAGTTATCAGCCACACCAATTGTAAAAATGTAGTTTTGAGAAAAACGCGTTTGAAGCTTCAGTCCTCCGCACTGAACGCGTGAATACTCGCGGCGCTAATCGGCCATAACTTCAAAAGGGCTTCATATTTCACTTTAAAATTTTGAGACAATATTTTTAAGATGTTACACTAACATTTTATAGAAAAAAAAAATTTTTTAATTTTTCAAGATTCTAAAGATATTGCCCCCCTTAAGGGACACTTTTTAAGGGATACATAAAAACTAATTACGTCATCATTGTAGGTGCTTCGACTACTTTTTCTTTGATTACTTTCTTTGTAAAAATTTACTGCGCATGTCTATCTCTTGCGATTTAGAACTGCGCAAGGGTCAACGTTTCGATAAAATAATACCGGCAAATCCTGTATTTACTCATAGACAACTTTATGTTGCATTATCGAGAGTCAGATCAAAAAATAATATTAAAATTTGTTGTCCTTTAGCTAATACAGACCAGCACAATGTAGTTTACAACGAAGTTTTTAATTAAAAGTTTCATTTGGTTTAATATCATGGAATTGGAGCTTGGGGTGAATAGTGGGCAAAGTCAAATTTATATTTTAACTGATTAATTCCTCGTGCATAGCACGAAGCGTTCCACTAGTTTACATAAATATCACAAATGTTTTTGGTAGCAATTGTTGCGTTACTACACTTGCGAAGCTCAAAAAGCATATAATGACCGATATGTACCTCTTTTGGCATTTGGCTCGCCATTTCACCATAAATTATAAACAAGAATTTTTAATTTAATTATTTGCAAGTAAATAATTCACGCTAACCTTAAAATGTTTTTGACACGATTTTGAAGTACACAATGAGCTGATGAATGACCAACAACTATCGACGTGCGCAGAAACGACATTACTTTCCGGTCTCTCTAATATTTACTGCATAATTTTGTTCAGTTTAAGAAAAATACGTTTCGTACTCCTTTAAGTATGATAAAAAAATTGATTTAAAGAATACCGCTATGCATTCATACTGAATAAAATGCAAAACTTGTATAGCCGTGCAAATTGTATGTAAAAAGTTTTTTCCTGTCTACGATAACGTTGAAAATATTTGAGATCATAATAATTATTGATCCACCCTATATGTATACAAACTTACGAAATATATTACGATAGGAATGGATGAATATATAATTAAAAATTTGCAGAAGTTTAATAAAATGGACTTCATAAAAATTTGAAACACTTAAAACTATTTATTTAGGATATTTTATAAACAAAGGTCTTTCTTTAAATTGGATTATATAATTTTCAATGACTGCCACTGCGTATATTTGCGTTGTATTCAATTATATAAATTTAATCATATAATAATAATGAAATATTATTGATAAGTTATAAATATTTATACATTTATAGCATATCAAAACGTATAAAAAATGTAAATTATGCAGTACGTATAAGAAACGAGATAAATTGTCTTATAAAATCATATAAATAAAAACATGTCTTTTACAAAAATGTATATTTTCATAAACATCCGTAATCTAATTATTAATAAATTACTTCATTATTGACAAATATATTAGACGAATCTTTCATTAAGAAGTTGTCATTATTTACGAGCAAAATGAAATATCTTTACGAGATTGTTTCATATTTTTGTTTTAGTGTATCTTATCTTATGTTACGTATTGCTAAACCCATCAAATCCATATCGAAGCCACATAAACATAACATGATTATTGTTCATAGTCAGATGGACTCTTGAAAGACGTGTTTAATAGAACTGACGAAAAAGGTACTAATATTAATAAACAATACGAACTTTGTTGTTATTATTTCATAATTAGATGTCTTCATCTGCAAATATGAAGTCATAAACTGCGTAACGCTTTCGAAATTATCTTAAATCTTATGAAACGAGTAAATAAGTCCGTATGCTTATACATATACAAAAAGAAAAATAATTTAAAAACATGAAAATAAGTGTATTTTCCAATATAACTAATAGTTTTTAATGTTTCTAACATTTCTTCAAATACTTCTTCGAAACTAAACAAAAAAATACAAAATCCTAGAAGTACAGAATAAAATTCATTCTTTTTATATAACTTGTTTCTAGAATTTAACTATTTTTCTCGTTCTTTATACGGTATTACCAATATAATGAGAAACAAAATCATACAATAATTATTCACTCATTAATGTGAGCCATTTGAATTTGTATCACTTGCACCTGTATGATGTAATACATTTTCTAAAAATGCTTTTTAAATCATTTATACCAAATCGATCACTATTTCATGTCAGAAATTTTATTCCAAATAGAGTATAGTATGGTGCATGCAGAATTAGGAATTTAAGTCATCATTCTGCTAGTTTCAAATTTATTGACTAAATATTAATTTCTTAGATTTGCCACTTATCATGAAGTCGGGCAGCACCTATAAATGTTTATTTCTAAAACTGTTTGTGGAATTGAATTACCTCATTTATAATCTAGAAACTTATAACAATGTTTCTTTTCGTTGAAAAATTTAGACAAATTTTGCTCTTATAAAAATCGTAGTATATATTGCTTATTTAACAGTTAACTATAATATTAAGTTAAAAAATATTATTCTGATAGAGCGATTATTTTGTGAGAAGCATTTTAACAAATACCTTCTCCTAATTTCGATTTCTTTCAGCAAAAAATGTACAAAAAAGAAGAATTTGCTTATAATTTATGATATTACAAAACCAATTCTTCGAATAAAAAAATGCTATTATAAGAAAATCAATTCATCTAAAGTAACATATACAAAATTTTATTCGAAATATAATTCTTTAATTAAAAATTCATGATTGGAGTTTGCTTTACAGAAATAAATAAAAATTCAACTATCCGTTCGTTAGAACAAATTCGAACCTAAACCTCTTCTAATTTCTCATGTACATTATTTGAAAAGAAATTCCTGACATCGACATTATAAAGTAATCTATTTAAAGTAATAAAGTAATTTGATGTGAAACGAGCCTTTTATACTATAGTAATCAAATCTGATTTGATTATTTCTATTTGTTTCAAATCTTAAGTTGTACTTTTATTTACATTCTAATCTGTAAATTAAAAGCAATGTAACAATGAATTCGAAACTAATAAAAAATATGGAAAAATATATAAGTATATATATAGAAAAAAATAAATAATTGTCAACGGATTTACTCGCTTATCGTTTTAGATTTTTCATCAAATTGCAATATTATTCGTAATAGTATTTGGAAACATTATGATAACTTGTTAATATTTTTAACGTCCAGTATAATGTTATTTAATGGTTTCGTTTGAATATAATGCATACAAGTATTTGCACTTCATAATAATTTTACAATAACTACTATAATTTAAATTGTGTATTATTATTTACCTAATTGATTTTTAGAAGTATTATAATATAAAAATATCAACAGATCGTTTATCTGGAATACAGAAATACAAATGTTTCTACAGAACGAAAGAGAAAATGTATACATATATGTATAACGAAATATGTACGAGTGTACACATATATTGTACATACTTTCACGCGACTACCTTTGTACACCACTTTTAAATCAGTGTTATTACAAAAAAAACATAAAATTTACTCTTGAAACTCGTCAGTCCCGTTAAGAACACTGTAAGTTATTCAATGAATATTAATTCTCAATTTGTTAGCAATAAAATAGAATTATATAATTTAAAAAACTATAATATAACTATGTGTATAAACAGATTGTTCATAGTTTAAAAAAATAATGTCATGACAAATACTTATAACTAAAAATATCTACTGTTAATAAATGTCCAATTTAACACAATATCGTTTAATAAATGCCATTTTCAATATTTTTACTTTAGAAATAAAATAATATTTTAGTTATAACGTAAACACGGCATGTCTGATATTTGTATATAGATTCAACATAATATTCTGATTCAGTAAAAAGCAGTTGCACAAGAAACAGTGTAAACGTATATTAAATAACATTAAATGTAATAGCGATTTTGCAATATTTTATTGTTATGCTATTAAAAAAGTTTTAATGTTGTAATAAATTCACTTCTATCAAACGCTGATTAAAATCCTTTCTACAAAAGCTTTTAGGTTAGACGGTATTATAAGACATATTGTCAAAATTATACATAACAAATAAAATATAAAACAATTAAAAATCATGTTACATAATTAATAATTCTTTATACATATAGTTTGAGAAACGTGCAATTATGAGTGCAAATTGGATAAATTTAAATCGACGCGGTTTTCAATTGGTTGAAAACTTGTTAATCGTCCGGACACGGGCTATAAAAGAATGTGTTATGCGAAAACGAATAGTAGATGTCTTTGGAGTTTCAAATTATAACGTGTTCTTTTCAACTACCTGTTGCTCGACTAAATCCGTAAGTTATACTATAACTTACTTAATCCATTATTTTTTTAATATAAATAATACTGTTTCTATATAAAACAAATTCTTATTATGTTAAATTAGTTTGTAATACGCAATGTTATATAATAATAAATAATTTTTATATATTAAGTAATAATATAATACTATTTTGGTTTATGGCATGTAATTACAATAATATTAAAAACTATTTTATGTAATTTATATATATTTTACATTTAAATTATAAAAAACATTTAAAAATTTATGCAGAGAAGAGATAAATTTGTTCATTATGTTTCTAAGCATGTTATATGACTAATTTTACTCTTAATAATAATTGCTTGCTTTTAATGCTTTTAATAATATTAAAAAGTGATAAATTATAAATATCATATAAAAATAAATTTAAAAATATTATTTCATTATCATCATTATTAAATTTCTTTTCTTATTTTATAAAACATTTTTATTTCATTATACATTTATTATTATCATACAAAAAAACATACTATTTATTTAGAATATGACTGGAATTATTTACAAAAATGTTTGGGAAACTGACCCAGAACTTTTTGAAATAATGAAAAAAGAAAAAAAGAGGCAAGAAGTTGGTCTTGAAATGATTGCTAGTGAGAACTTTACATCTCTTAGCGTATTGCAATGTTTGAGCTCCTGCCTTCACAACAAATATAGTGAAGGTCTTCCTGGTCAAAGGTATAGTTCTATAAATTTGTTATTATTGTTATTATTATTCATTAAATTTATATATTGTTTAGAATATTCTATATTTTTATTTAGATATTACGGAGGAAATCAGTACATTGATGAAATTGAATTATTAGCACAAAAGCGCTCTTTAGAAGCATTTAACTTAAATCCAGAAGAATGGGGTTGTAATGTACAACCTTATTCAGGTAGCCCAGCTAACTTTGCAGTTTATACAGGTTTAATTGAACCTCATGGTCGAATAATGGGATTAGATCTTCCTGATGGGGGACATCTTACTCATGGTAATAAAAAGTTTTATATAAATTTATGAAAATATCACATAATATCATAAATTTTTTAAATTTTTCCTATATATTTTTAGGTTTTTTTACTCTAAATAAAAAAGTTTCTGCAACATCAATATTTTTTGAATCAATGCCATATAAAGTTAATCTCGAAACTGGTTTAATTGATTATGATAAATTAGCTGAAGAAGCGAGACTATTTAAACCCAAAATTATAATAGCAGGTGTGTCCTGTTACAGCAGATGTTTAGATTATAAACGATTCAGGAAAATAGCTGATGAAAATAATGCTTATCTATTTAGCGATATGGCACATGTATCTGGCTTAGTTGCGGCTGGATTAATTCCCAGCCCGTTTGAATATAGTGATATTGTATCCACTACAACTCATAAAACTTTAAGGTATTTATTTTAAAATAAGTATTAATTTTAATACAGCTAATAAACTTTTACAACTCTTAGAGGACCTCGAGCTGGTATTATATTCTTCCGGAAAGGAGTTAAAAGTATTGATAAAGATGGGAATAAAATTATGTATAATTTTGAAGATAAAATTAATCAGGCAGTATTCCCAGGATTACAGGGTGGTCCTCATAATCATGCAATTGCAGGCATTGCTACAGCAATGAAACAAGTTAAATCTCCAGAATTTCTTCAGTATCAGAAACAAATTGTAGCTAATGCAAAGAGATTGTGCTCAGGACTAAAAGAGCTTGGTTATAAAATTAGTACAGATGGTACTGATGTTCATATGTTATTAGTAGATTTACGATCTACTGGAGTTACAGGAGCTAAGGCAGAAACAATTTTAGAAAGTATTTCTATTGCATGCAATAAAAATACTGTACCTGGTGATAAAAGTGCATTACATAGCAGTGGTATCAGACTTGGTACACCTGCATTGACCACTCGTGGTTTAGTTGAAAAAGACATTGATGAAGTTGTTCGTTTCATACATCAAGGTACATTTTAACACAACAAATTATAATTAACTGAAAGTAACATTTGAATATATATAATACATATTATAAATATATATTTTAGGACTACTACTCTCTAAAGAAGTATCTAATATTTCTGGTCCTAAGCTTGTCGATTATAAAAGAGTATTGAATACTAATGCTGATATTCAAGCAAAAATTGCAGTTTTAAGAGAAGAAGTTGAAACTTTTTCTAAACAATTTCCAATTCCTGGTTATGTAGCATACTAATACTACAGCACTGTGCTTTTGTTTTATCCAGTATATGCATCCCCACATTTACTATGTATATCAATTTTTCCATTAATATATTTAAGGATTTTTATACACATCAGTTACTTATAAGGAATATAAATGTATACGCGTATTGGTCTCGTGTGAAATGTGTATTTATGTACATACATAATATTTTGTACAGTTATACATTATTAAAAAATGCTCATTATGAATATAACAAAAAATTAAATACAAAAAATTGTGTAATTACATTTTGAAAATATCAAATTATATGAATTATCATATTACACTATTCATATAATGGATTTAATATTTCCATTTTCCCTTTTTAATTTGTTAAAAGCTTACACATATGTCATTGCAACTAAATATAAGTATGCTTTATATAACAGCAATAAATTTTTAAATATAACTTCCTGTTTATACCAACAAATACTTAATTTTTTTCTTTTTTGTATATGGTATTTTATACAAAAGAATTCGCAAATGATATTTTCTTTATTTAATTTACTTGAACTTTTAAATGTTACTATGTTAATTATTAACACATATTCACCACTATTGTTTATTATTTACGAACTAAAATTGAAGTTAATTAAACTATTTTATTTATAAGAACTTTGTTTAATCTACAATGTATTATTGAATATTATTTTTGTGTGCTCCTATTTTATAACTGAAAATCATTGGTATAGTACAGTATTGTTACAGTCCACTTATTTAATATTTGATAAAGCTGAACTTAAATTAAATATACAATGATTATGATTCTTTGAATCAATCTATTAAAATAAATATCTTGAAAACCTAATAGTTTTATAATTATACAAATGATATTTTTGAAGTGAATGTAAAACAAAATTGTTTAAAACAATAATGTACACAATTTATATCATTTTAAATATTGTATTACATATCATTTATATTTAAAATATCGAAATATTTCATGTAAATTTTATTACTGTTGTGCGTGCGCGTATGTTTAGTGTATCGACAACTGACCTGTGAAATATCTTTATTTTCATTGATTTTTATAATAAATTATACTTTTCATTTAAAAATTAATTCAAGTAAAAATTTCCACAACAAATTTAAACATTGCAATATTTGTAGGATATCTATTTTATCCATGTATTATGGTAATAGAAGTTTTTATATTGATAATAAAAGAATATTTGATAACCAAAAAATATTTTTCGTTAAATATATACTTTTATAAGGATACACATACGTACATAAATGTTTGTATATGTATACAATTATTATAAATCTACACCACACTAATCATGTTTTTTAATGCTCCTTTCATACAATAACTATTAATTGTACATTATTTTTTATTAATACACAAGTAGTGATGTATTATAGAATCATGGCCATTTTATTTCTGTAATAGAATAAATAATTCACTAATTAGCAAGAAATAATACTACTCATTAACTATTCTTTCTTTGCAGCTATAAATATATATGTCACAATTATTTGTCACAAGATTAAGCTTACATAAAACAAACATTCATTTCAGTAATACTCAAGTACATATTTGCTTTTGAATATATGGTATATACATTCTTACTAATACAAAGATTTTGTTCAAACTTTGCCTTAACATAGTGTCATCGCAGCACTGAAATAGATTTTTATATATACAATTCAAATTTTTTAACCACTTAAATACAATGAAATGCTTCAAATGCATTATCAAAATAAATTTGGACAAAGCAAAAAGATATGAAAAGTTATCATGGCTTATAATCCTTATTTTTATGTAGAGTTGGTTTCTGGGAACTGTTTATGACCTGTAATTTTTAGAAATTTTTCTATGAATGCATCCCACATATTTTTCTTTCAAATGAGTTTATCTGTACAGATCATCCATAAAAGTTAATTTCAAATTTAACCAATTTGCACAATACAGTTTTTAAAAACATGTGGGACATTAAAATATGTATGTATATATAAATATTCATTATTCATTTTCATCACATTGCACAGTGACATATAACCTTTAATCAATCAAGTTCTTGTGAAGTTGAAGCTCCGTGTTCATCATCTGACTCTTCATCAAAACCATCAAAAAAAGAACGTAATAGGACACTATACAAATCTTGATTACGAGCGCGTTGAGATGCAATATTAAAAAATACCTGTTCTATTTTATCTAAGTACTGTCGATAACATGGATCTCTATTTAAAGATATTTCATATTGTTCACAAAGTACTTTAAATGCAGTAAGTTTACCACTGAAAAACATGAATTACAAAATACACATACATTTATGGATTAAATTTTTATTTATTAAATAAACAAATAATTAATACTTACCTATCGATTATCTTTAATAAAAAAAATAAAAAGTTCAGTAAGGGAAGAAGATATGGTGGACCTCTATTTATTTTTGGATGTTGTGAAGTATAAGAATTAAAAACTTCCTGTGCAGCTGTTTTATTTTGTAAACAGAGATATCTGAAAAAATTTAAATAAGATTGTATAAAAATGTGTTTAATTTGTGAAGATTGAAAATATCCATAAAACTACGTAATATAAACTTACTGTAAAACTGCCTGTGCAATAAAAAGATCTATTTCATTCATGTAACCACGTTGCTCATGGAGTTCAACAAGCATTGCAGCATATCCAGAACCATCTTTACTGTGTATGAAATGTTGTCTTGCCATTATATAATTTTTTTCTATAAATTTTTAAATAAATCTTCATGACATTAATACACACACATTTAAAATAAATTTTTTATTAAATAAATTACCTTTCCAAAATACTTGAGCTATTTTTTGATGTAAATCTGGATGACCAGTTTTATATTCGTTGCCCCTTATACTCCATCGAAGGGCAGATTGTATAAATATATCTCTTTCAGGTGAAGAAGAACTCATTATACATAATAAGTTTGTAATTTTTTCAAAATATACTTGAGAAGGTTCTGTTCCTGATTGTGTTAAGACATTTATAAATAAAATTCCTAGGTCAGCTCCACTAGCATGCTGTAGTAATTAATAATAATGAAATACACTACATTAAATGTTATATGTATTATCATAATATGTATGAATGCATTTTTTTAAATTTATGTTATTAAATAAATATATTATTTCTGCATAAAATTCATACTATTGTACTATGATATGCAAATACTACATCAGTTCTTTTTTAGAGACTTGTATTGTAAAATATAACTATAAACAGTTTAAGAAAACTGCCTTTGATACAAACAATTTAAATACAATTTAAAATTGAATACAATGACATCACTTTAAAAAAATTTGTTTCAATAATACATTTATAACAGTAAAAATTAAACATTAAAATGTATTACATACTTGTTCGTGTTGTAATAAAAGAGTAGAACCATTATACAGTAATTCCAAAAGTTCTGAATATTTTTTCTGTCCAAGGTACCTGAAAGAAGAGGTTAAGCACTCGTATCGACGATTGTGCAGGAATAATTTTTTGACGCTGTTAATTACCTAAATTGTTAGCTTACCTGAAATATAAAGTTCTATACATTTGATGAGCCTCATAATAATTTTCTGAATTTATAGATGCTTCTAATTTCGTTAAAACTCGCTGAACACCGTGATTGTACCGCGAGGCCATGTTTACGCTTTTTAGAATATTCTTTTCCTGTTTTTAGATTGGTACCACTGCTATGTAACTAGATAAATGTAGTTTTGCTAAATTTAAAGTTCCATATATATATGCATAGATACCCATTAGTACATAATGTAAATGTGTTTGAATTGCAATAAATACGTTGATAAAACTATAAGAATGCAGATTATAAATTACTATGAATTACATACTTTCAATACTTATAAGTATATAGTATATATTTAGTGCTATTGGTGTTATTAAAATTAGTTGCGTACGATGTTTGTCTATATTATGTAAACAATATATATCCACATAAATATACAATATATTTTCATGACATTATTAAATACATACGTAAACATTGTGCATAATAAACTACAAATATTTTAACGGAAAAGTAAACTACATTTCATAAATAAAAGGTACCGATATAACAATTCAAAGATATAATGTAATGTGTATAGTACAATATTAACAAATCAACAATAGATATTTTGAAAATTACGTAATTATAACTAACAAAAATAATAGTGTATTTATATTACATTCTTGTATTTATATATATATGTAACATAACCATTTAACTTACAAAAAGTAATTGTAACGTTTAATGGTAGAATCAGATACACTATGTATGATGGTATAAATTTGATTATTATTAATATAGGTACAGCTGAAATGTAAATTGCATTAAGTCATTGATGTGGTTGATTTAACGTGAAAAATTCGACGACTATCATAAATGAATAACAAAAAGTAATATTGATAAATGCGCAAAGTAGCGTCGCGTAAGCACTGGAATGTTACCGTACGTGTGTGGTTATCCTAAAAACTGTAAAGACAATGCGCCCCTGGTGGCAAATTGCGTAAATATTTCTTGTGGAAATAATTATCGTGATTTATATTATTTGTAAATGTAAAGAGAATCATTAATGAGAGTATGTCAAGTAACGGTGATTAGAGCGATAAGTGGATTCTACTGTGTCTCAGTTTATCTGGATTGATTGAAAATCTTGTATCTGATCCGGGGTAAGTATCAAAAATATTCATTCCACCAGCTTTAAAAGGGGGCGGTGGCTCGCATCAGTATTTTTTTAATAGTTTCTTCAATCATTTTTACTGCAATATAATCATCTTTACCTGATGACCAAGAGACTTAAATAGTCGTGCATTCTTAAACTAACAAGCTTATTAGTTTGAAGATTTACACATATTTTTCTAATTTTTATAATTTCTATACTAGTCCTAATTTCTTGTTTTATTATTATATAAATTAGTTAAATAAGAATTAATTAATTTATTTACAACCTAATCTGGAAGTTGGACTTAATGGTATTTTACCTTAATATCATTTTATTTCTGTGAAAAGCAATTATAATACCTTGATTAATAAGCAAAAAATTAAACGTGTAACCTATTTTATTCCTCATTGTTTACGATTTTCTAATTTTCTTGAATGTGGAAGTTACAACTTTTTTTTTAAAGTTGATGTTTTAAAATTGATTGCTTTGTGCATAGAATGGACTTTGCAGAAACCATGAAAAATATTGTTGCCAAAGGTATGCAGTCTGAAATGGGGCCACCAGGTGGAGGAGCTGGTTTTCCTGGCACACCAAGTAGCATTGGTTATGTTACTGAAAAAATGTACGCTTTATTGCAAGCGTATCTCCAAAATAAAGGTTGGAATCCAAGCATCGAACTTCTACAATGTTTTTCAGAATTTAAGGATGCATCAATGATTCCAAGCGCTGCTTACTTGCAGTACGTGTTCATGATTTGTAATTTATATGCAAAATGTTCATTGCCTTTTTACACATATGATTTTTATAAAATAATTGCTAGACAGTAAACTTAATAATGTCTTATTAATAATATCTCATTAATTATATTTTATATTGTAATATATAAATAGGATGATGGCGACAAGGATAGCTTTGGACTCTCAAGGACGACTAGTTCTTAGAGAAAATGGAAAAATAATATTGCCCTATGAACATTTTGCAAATGCTGTGATGTTAAAGCATACAAATGGTCCACATGGTTTACATTTAGGGTTAGAAGGCACGGTTAGGGCTGTTATGGAATCGTACACTATAGGACGAGAATGTTTTGGTATGGAAAAAGAATTTATAATAGAAGTGGTACAAAATTGTCCAAATTCTGCTTGCATTTATTATAAAAATCAACTTGAGTTATCAAAAAAAATGGGACATATGACTCCAACTTATATTCAAGATAATGAGACAACAGCTTCTCTTTTACGTAGTAGATTTCCTCATAATACAGATTTTCAGGCAGTAAGTATAAGTGATGTTATTATTGATTTATACATATTTTAATATATTTTAATGTGTATTATAGACTTTAAGCAATGCTAATCCAAATACTCATATGGGAGGAGCGTCTGCAACAGATTTGGCAGAAATGAGAAGTGCTGGAAACCAAATGAACCTTCAACGACCTCCAAGCCGTCCATCATTAAATATTCCACATCGATCTGTATCACAAGAAAAGAAAGTAACTAGTGGGAAACAACACTATGAATCTCTAGTATCAACTATTTCAATATCTGATCACAAATTAACAGACTTTTTAAGAACAAATTTAGATAATTTGGATAATCTCAGTGGACTTGGATTAGGAAATCTACAAGGATTAGGAAATGCAAACAAAGACTTGTTAGCTTTACATAATGGAGCTTGGCCATTAGAGAATGAAAAAGGAAATCGCTCATTTTCAAATTCAGAAGGTTCATAGAATATATCATTTTTACATAATGAAATTAAATTTATATATAAAATTGTACTGTTTTAGATCCTCAAGTATTTAAAGAAATTACAACTTTTCCCATTAAGCATGTTTAAAGAAATAATTTTATAGGTTAAAATTTGTTTTTAAAGCCACAATTTTTCGAATTTCAAAGTTAAATTTAATTTATAAACAAAAAGATATACGTATTTTTAAATAATATAAATAAAATTTTAAATAAATTTTCATACCTATTATGAAGACCTGTAAAAATGACATCTCTGAAGCAGTATTAAAGACAAATTAGTTTTTTTCATTTTTAAATTTTTCATTAAAATTTCGATATATTATGAAAACTGTTGAAGCCCCTTTTTTATTAATTACATTTATATAGATAAAAAATATAAAATTCATTAAATGCAAAAGATAACTTTAAGATTGTGAATAAAACTTTTTTTTATCCAATTTTTTGCTTTTAAGTTTTAAATAATATATCAAATGTAAAGAATAACATTTACTTTGTAGGTGGGCAAGAAAAGATAGTAAGGGCTTTTGCAGAAGTAATGAAGAATATGGCAAGAATGAAAGCTTGTGTGCGTCCTGCAATGTGTAAACCTTATGGAAAACAGTCAGAGGCTTTGCAGAAAAGTAATAAAATAGACTATTTGTTTAGTTTCATATTTATATTTTCTTTGAAAATATATATTTTTAATTTCTTAATTTATAAACCATATTTTACTGATATATAGATAAAGTCAGAACTTGCAATATTTTCTGTAATTATTCTGGAAGTTGCATAAAAAGGTTTATGTTATCCATAAGATGAATAAAATAAACTGTTCATTCTATTACAGCATTGGTAGATACAATACAACTTGTACAATCACTGCGAAGTTTCTTGCCACCACCACATATTCCTGTATCGAGCTGGAAAAACGAAGACAAACATCGATTAGACCATACGAGTACTCCTTACCTTCCACCATTGTAAGTATTTTTTGTTTATATTGTAAGTGTACTTTTATTGCATGACTAGAGATATCAAATAAAGAGTTATCATTTTCATGCAGAAAGACTGGAGGTTTAGAAGAATTGTGTGAACAACGCAAGTTAGATTAAACAATGTCTTCGCTTTTTAATCATTAAGTCAGGTTTTGTCTTTGCGCTCTATGATGTTCTAGTCATGTGGTGTTTATAGGTTAGATGGGTGTTTTGTATTTAAAAAAACCCAAAGGATTGCTCAAATGTTGTTGGCGTTTAGGACTTCAAAATACTAAGGGATAAAATGAGTCATGCGTGGACTGTGATAAATGAGGGTAGTTAAAGTTTTATATATAGTCAATTGAAATTCATGCTGCTGTTTTAAAATTAAATATTTGATATGTTCTTTTTTTCTATGATTTGTGTGTAATGTATATAATCTGCCTATAGAGTTTATTTAATAACTGAGTTAGTTGATCTTGAACCAGCTCTATCATAAATAATTTACATATTTTGAATACATATAAAACTGCATTTATATTTTATTGTTGTATGTATATTAATTTAATAACCCACCATTTGTGTTCCAAAGATTACCTGATTAGTATTGTATTATAAAAATTATATATTACAGCAGTAAATTTGCATATTTACTAAAAGTTTGAATGAACTTCAGTAAGGATCAAATTTAGTGTTATAAGTATACAAGTTTAAAATGTTATTAATATTTTAAATATGAGAAAGTAAGTAATTATTCGTAGTTAATATTATATGATCCTGCATTATTTTATTTTTGAATGTGCTTTAAATAATTATAATGTATATAATTGTAAAGTATTTTGAATATTTCAATTGTCTGCAATTATGATAAAAGTGTTGAGGTATAATAAATTCTCAATTTTATAGGAATATTTTCATTTAACCTGATTACAAATTATTGTTTATTTCGTAAGGTTAAATTCAATATATAATTGATGAGAGTTATGGAAAGTTAGCACGTTTTATTTGTTTCATGTAGGAGAATATTTTTGAGTTTATTACGTAAAGTCATTTCATGATTTTTAAACAATAGCTGCATACTGTTTTATGATGGAAGTGGCACATTTGCAGTTATGTTGCAAAAGCTATTTTGTTTCAGCATGTGATCATCTCAAATTCTTGAAATGCATTTTATACTGAGAAATTAAATCTCCCAAAATATTGTTCATTTAATAATTCTATATAATTGTTAAAAAGGAAAATGTGGAAACATTTTCATCTTTATAATATTTGTATGAAATTTTAACAGATATTATAGAAAGAAATCATTGGTTCAATATCAAATGAAAATTGTTCTATTTTGTTATTGTTTGTTTCTTTGTTTTATTACACTGAAAATGAGCTTTAGTAATAATGTAAGTTTGCCTTTGAAGTAAGATCAGTATTTATTTATATAAAGATATATTGGCAAATATCCATTCTATTACACAATCTATAATTAATAAACCAGTATTGCTGGTTAAAAGAAAAATAAACTTAATGCAAGCCATTAGAATTCGCAGTTGTGTTAACGTCTGTATTAGAAAACGAAATATAGTATTTTTTTATAAAAAAATGTATTATTTTGCAGTCAGTCATTTAGACATACCACTTTTCATGGGAAAATCAAAACATATTGTTTGAAATAATGAAAATAAATACGTATAAAAGACAAGTGAAACATACTACTTTTCATAACGTTTCATATTGTTGTGGTATCTAGTATTATACTTTGGTAAGTTATAGTGCAAAAGCTGCTAGAATTTGTAGTAACTTATAAGCTCTATGGGCAGTAACATGTAGTGTGTACATAAATAGAATGTCATTGGTCAATTCATAGCTATTTTTCGAGGAATAAATTATTACTTTACTATGTACAAATAGAAAGAAAAAAGAAATTACATTATTTGATCATTCTTTAAGCCTAATGCGCAATGATGCTTAAAATTTTCTGTATTTGTATTGATATTATTTAAATGGTATTATCTCTGCGAAAAGCTTAATGCCTGAAAAAAGTTATGTGTTTTTAATTGACATTCTCCGACGATATGTATTTCATTTTAATTATAGGAGTTAAGTCGTTTTTAACTCACTTGTTATACGCATATCTGCGATGGTAAAATGTTTCCTTCTTGCTTGGTAATATCAAAGTATGAACTACATGTTTCTAAATATAAATGATAGATTTGTGTATCGAATGCAAAAGAATGATCGGTTGCGTGAATCTAAATTGTATGTGGATTCAATGAATGTCATGTTTCAATTGTCAAAGAGTAACATTTTATATTAATATATGAGTTGTGCATAATTCAATGTGCATATGATTTAATTTATACAGGATGTTACATAACTAGCGAACACATCGCGAAAGAATAATTTTAAAGAGGTAATTCTAAAAAACTGTTTTCTTTGCAAACATGTTGACGAAAGCTTTGATTTTGAATTATTAACAAAAAACATTGAACAATCAGAGCGTGTGAGGAAAGCGTATCCCACCGCGAGAGCGACAGATTGTATTTTAGCGGTTGATTATTATTTGAAAAAAGTAAGACATAAAATAAAAAAAATTATTTTTGTCATTTGCCATAAAAATGCAATTAGGTTTAAGATCATTTTTGTTGAATAGAAAAGTTATTTATCCTTTAAAATACTGAAATCTGTGGTTTTATACTTTTTAGACAAATAACAAGAATAATTTTTTATATTTTATTTTTCATTCTTTTTGAATAATGTTTCAAATAATGTTTAATAATTATTGAATATGAAATTATTAAATATGAATAATTATTATTTTTAATTATTGTTATTAAAATTATTTTTAATTTTTTAATTTGTCATTCTATTTAAATTCGACGTAAAGGCTTTCTTTACACAATTACAACGACGCGGACTAACCCATTTGTTCACAATCACAGTTAACCGTCACGTTCGAACCTATCAATGCCGTGGTATGGTGCATGCATTATGCGCACTCTGATTGGTTGATGTTTTTCGTTAATAATTCAAAACGAAGCCTTAACTAATATTTTTGTAAAAAAAAAGTTATTTAGAATAACGTCCGTTATCACGTTTTTATGGTACGTTTACTAGTTATGGGATACATTGTATACCTTTCTGTACACATGTCTGTTGTAGAATGCGGGTATATTTATTTATAATATTTTTAACTGAAAAATTGTTAACAGGATTTAGATTTTCGTAATATCGTAATTTATATCTACATACATGTATGTATATTACTCTTAAGCAAAATCTTTTTTTTATTACATTAAATAAAAGATAGCAATCATATTTGATAAATGTTTAGGAATAATTCGGAAAAAAAGATTTATTACGAAAACACATTTTGTGAACAGAGAATAAAATTTGTTCGACGTTGATTAATAAAATTTGCAGAATATGCGTGCATGTAATGAATTTAAATTTGTTAAACTATAATTCAATGATTATCATATGATTTAAACGTTATCGAATGCAATTGGATGCGTTTTTGTTAAGCATTATAACAAAATAAATTCATCAGTCATGTTAAGATTGTAATGTATAATGAAGATGTCGAAAATCTTGATCATTTAATATAAGGAATGAATAAAATATTCGAAGAATTAAAACAAGAAACATTTAATGGATACAGTATTATAATATATACAACAATGGTAGTAATAATTTTAGTGATTTAAATTTTAGCAAAATGTTTGTAATATAATTTGGAATTTTATCTGTAATCGGTTCGTGTTTTTGCTTAATAATTCAAAAACGAAGTTTCAAACCTCATTTCTGCAAAGGGGAATGGTGTTCATTTCCAGGGCCTCCACTAGTTGTGAGACACTTTGTAAGTACAGTAAGCGGCCTCTTACTTTTCGAGATATTCATAAAAATATGTTTGGTTTCACAATCCATAAGCATTTGATTGAGTGGAATAGTATTTTCCGTTATTATTCACTACTAAACTTGAAATTGTGTTTTTCTAAGACAGTTAATTTACTTCAGTGAAAATGTGAGATCGGAGGATTGCGGAGGGTGTTTTAATAACTCTTGGACTGTTGTGTCTTGATCAAATAGCAGCTCGTCTATAATACTTATTTTTATTGTACTCTGTTTGTTCAAAATGTCCAAATACACTGTTTTATTATTATTTTATTATTTCTTTAATATTCTTTCTTTAATCATTATTTCTTCAAATCTTCATTTGGTTTTCTCTATATTGTTATATAACAATCCGATTCCCAGACGTTAAATTTACATTCGTCACATAAAATTACATTATACTAAAAGTCAGAAGGTTTCAATAGGTATTTTTTCGGCAAAACTTAAACGTTTTTTTTTCTATTAATATCACTGATTAGTGGTTTTCGTCTGGCTATAGGTGGGTTATAATAATGTCTTTTAAGTACTCTTCGTACTGTTTCATACGAAACTGGTTTTCCACAAAAATTTCTTAACATTGTAGTAATTCTGAGAGCACTTGTTTTTGGATCTTCTTTTACTTTCCTTACAATAAAATGTTCTTTTGATGCGTTTAAGCTTTTCTTTTTACCACGTCCATAATTATTTTCAATGTTTCCTTCCCTTTTATATTTTTTAATAATATTTCTTACTGTACAAAAGTTTCTTTTTATAATTTTCTTTATTCTTTTTTATCTTTTTATTAACTATCTTAGCTGTATTTACCGTAAGGGTGACTTAAATGGTATTGAAATTAAATTCGAGAACTCTTTTGAAAAACAAATATTCTTTATTCATGATAAATCATGACTACGCTCTTTTTTGTCTTTTAACACATTCGCGACCGGCAAATTTTTCCCGTTTCTAATACTAAATACCAGCGAAAATGATGAAATTTTGAAGCTGGTTGCCGCAAACTTGTACCGTTAAATCAAGGATAATAAGAATAAAATTTGTTTTAAAATATCAATGTTGCAATAATATGTTGTTTAAAATAAAAAGATTTGTATAATTTGTATATGTATTTGCTTTATAGGTAGACAATAGACCACTTGTTATTATTGTGCTGAATTTATTTAGCAATATATCACAAGTATTTTAGAAAAGTCGAGTAAAAAGAAAAATTAATATTTCTGTTTAGTATGATAAGTATAAAAACAAAAATTTTTGCATAAAGGAACTTTAAATAATTTGCATATATACGAAGTGTCACGACGTTTTCCACGAGTTTTGTGAACTCTGCAACGTTTTAGTGCTCTAGTTGTGCCATTCCTTTAATTGCATGTATTCTACATTATTATGAAGATATTACATTTCACATAAGTACAATTTACGCGTTTAAGACCTTCCGTGCGTCGAATACCGCCACCAGTACGCGCCCATAACGCGGAACAAATAGGATATCTGACTCGGGCCCCATATTTTTTGTAGAGGCGCCTATAGACCCTTAAGTTCTCGTTTTAAATGAATTAGTATAAAAAATACATATGGACCCTTAAGTTCTTGTTTTAAATAAATTAGTATAAAAAATGTAATATAATACAATTGCCACGATACTATGTATAGAAATCAGCCGTGCACCGAACGGAAGGTATAAAATGTACGCGTAACTTCAACGACAGTAATATTTTTTCCACAAACGAATTTAAAAATTCCAATTTATCAGTATTTTTTCTTTGGACCCATAGTTTATGTGTGTGAAATTTGATCAAAATGGTACGTTTTATTAAAAAAATGTGCAAAATAATGTTAATTTTTAACGTATTTTTTAAACAAATACATTTTTCAAAAAGCCGCTTACGCCATATCATTGGCCTTCTAAAAGAGAAAAAATGGCACTTTGAATTTTTTGTCTAGGCCTAATAGTTCCTAAGATATTTGCGAAAATATTTTTTTCAACCCCAACTTTAAGGGTCATTTTCACCACTTCAGAGTGGATGTTTGCCGATAAAAAAAAATACGTGTCAAATATTTTTTCGAGTTCTATAGCATAGAACTCAAAAATTTCATCATAATCGGCGTATCAATTGGGTGATGTCCCTTGTAAGCAGGACGTGAATTCACGTCAGCCGCAACCAGGAATAGAATTTAAAATGACGTGAATTCACGTCAGCGGCAACCAGGATCAGAACTTTAAAGGACGTGAATTCACGTCAGCGGTCGCGAATGTGTTAACAAATGATTACCTATTCGAACTGATCATAGTTTCAACGCTCTCATGTTACAAATGTTTTGAAAGATAGTGGGCTTCCTGATCGCATTGCCTTTACACGGCTTACATT